GGGAAGCCGGGACCCACAGCTTCGCCCGAGGGGGCAACCAAGGAGGGGGAGGGAGGGAGAGAGACGGAGGGGGGTGGCGAGGAGAGGCCGTGTCAAGCCCTGGTTTCCCCAGATCCCACAGCTCTGATGCTCAGGGAACTCAGAAAGTGACCGTGCTGTGCGGCTAGACAAAGGCGCCTGACTGGGCGCAGAGCCTGGGGAGGAGAGGGGCCAACGTCTCCGTCTGCCCTGCCTCGCGTCTGGGCCTGTGCCAGCCAGGACGATGAAGTCGTCACACCGGCTGCCATCCTGCCATCTGGGCACCGCGTGCCAGGCATGCACTGCTCGCGCAGGCTGTGCCATTATTACTCCCCCTTTAAGGTGACCCTTCTCTTTATTTGGAAGTTTCGCTGTTTGGAGGAGGACTCCGATTCCCGCTGCCCTTCAGCGGGGACCTCCCAATTCGTTTTGTCTTTGGTGACGGGGGCAGTGGGGACAGCCCCGTGTGAGGCAGAAGAACAAGGAGACACCTGCCTGAGCTCCCTCCACCTGCTGCCCTGGTCGGGCTCTGGGCAGAGAGGGCTGCCGGCCCCCACGCCCGCCCCAGGCTCTGGCCGCCCGCTGTCCCTCTGCACACCCCCCCCCCGCACCCTCTGCCAGGGCGGCCACTTTCTGCTCTGACATCTCGGCTGTGGGACCCCTGCCACCCTCCTGGGTGAGAGTCGGGACAGGAACACTGGCTTTTAAGTCACAATGCGTTCGGAGAGCAACCACGGAATAGCTCAGCCAGGGGCAGACACCAGACAGCACAGAGCAAGACAGGACAGACAGTCGCTCTGGGGGAGGGCGAGCAGGTAGAGGGGCGGCAGGGAAAAACCAACCGATCGACTTTTCCCCAAAAATGAAACAAAACTTTAAAAAAATTAGAAAAAAAAAAAGAAAGAAAAGAAAAGAAAAAAACAAAAAGAGAGAGAAACGGACCAGGAGACAGGAGCCCGCCAACAGAGGGCGTGGGACGCACCAGGCAGACCACGGGGCATGCAGTCTCACATTCTCCCAGCATGCATCAGGCCCGTCACCATGACGACGAGGTGCAAGAACTCAGCAACGACATGACCAACGGATGCAGAGCGACCACAATGCAAGCATCGCATGTGTGCGCCGCCTCGGCCGGGCTGGGCACGGAGGCTGTGTCTTTCTGGGTTTGCTGTCGCCGGGCGGCTTTCTGACTGTGGTGGTGCCCACTGTCTGCTCCGTTTCTGCGTCTCGGCTGTGCGTGTGCGTGTGCGTGTCTGTGTGTGTCTACTGTGCTCAGTGTGTGTCGTGTCGTTTTTCGGAATGTAAAAATGTGGGTAAAGAAAGTAAAAAAGAAAAAAAACACACCAACCTTCTCGAAGCTCTGAGGGATGTAAAGGGGGTTGATGCGGAACACAATGACATGGGGAGAAGAGAAAAAATAGGGGAAATACAGAGAGTAAAAGAGGACTTCCCAAGGCGAAAAGCTGCATCGTCTGTTTTCTCTTTAAACCAAAAAAACTCAAATTAAAAAAGAAAAGAACAGCGACGGCTTCCTGCTCCCGCTCGGGCCGACACCGGCGCCAGCTCCCTCGCTGCCCAGGCGGTCGGAGAGTCTGAGACCGGGCAAGACGGGCCGGCTGGCCCTGCCGGGATGGCCCTGGCCCCTCCGCCCACTGCGTCTACACTGCCCTCCATCCCCACCGGCTGCAGACCCCAGTGCTGGCAGGAAAGCCCAGGAGGATGAGGACCAGTCCATCGGGGTCACGGACGCGCCAGACTCACCGGGTGCCGCGGTGGCAGATCAGACGCCCGCCCGCCCGCACCCCCCTCCCCGCAAGGCCTGCTCCTCACACAGGACGCGCCACCCGCGGTGCAGGACCCAGGAGTCGCCTCAGGGCCAGCGGGAGCTGTGGCCACTGGACCAGGGGACGAGGGTCTTGGGTGGAGGCACCGCTCAGCCCGCGTGGAGGATGACGAGGGCGGCCCCCGCGTGGGTCACTGAGCTTGGGAGGGAGTGGCCAGGTGGTTGGCCCAGAGCGGCCGGGCGGGCCATGGAGGCCGTTTCTACCACGGGTCGGGTCAGAACCAGCCCCGAGTGGGACGGGGTGGGGAGGGGACACAAAGCTTCCGAGAGGATCCAGGATCCTGACGGAGACGAGGGTCGGCAGAGTCACCGGGCCCCGCGGGGGCACCCAGGCACCTGAGGCGGTGGAGGTGGGGGAGCCCCTGGGACGGACCCCTGGC